CATGTGAAAAAGAAGGCAACAGTACTGGACAAGTGGAGACATCACTCATGATGCAGACAGACGAAGTCTCTGCCAGCCTAAGGGAGGTGTTCTAGAGCAAAGATTGCTCATTCGAGGAGTCCTCACTTGTACAGAAATGGCTAGACCAGGGGTGTCCAATCTTTCGGCTTTACAACAAAATCTCATGTTTTAAGAAAGTTTACAAATTTGTGTTGGGCCACATTCAAAGCCATCCTGAGCCACATGCAGCCTATGGGCTGCTGGCTGGACAAGCTTGAGATAGACCTTCACACCCCATTTTGGTTAGACATTGACTGGGGACATTCTGAGAATGTGGCGTTAGCTACCATTGCCTTACTCAGCCATTGGCTGGGGCCTTATCTGAAAAGAGCAAGCTCACAGTTCAGATGTGAAGTAGACCCTGAAGGAGCCAACAGCTGAAGGGTGCCAGATAATCTCATTCCTTGTAACTGGGCAGCAAAACTTTTCTCAAAGGGGGATCTGTGTGGTACAAGTCAGTTTTTGTCACAATGGTTTATTGTTACCAAATCAATCAACCAATCAACATTTGTAGTGGTTGTTTTAGCTGTTTCTGGGTAACAAACCACTCCATTTTAATAGTTAAAAGCCCCAAATGTAATAATTTGTTTTTTTTAAATGCTTTTTATTTGGTACCCTAATTTGTGGATCCGGAATTTAGAAAGAATCTGGCTGACTGGCTCTTGCTTAGGTTTTTCATGTGGTTGCAGTTATCCACTAAACTGGGCATCCAGAATGGTTCACAGGTCCTTGGCAGTTGAAGCCGCCTGTTAGGTAGGAGTTTGCTGGCACTGACAGCACCAACATGTGGCCTCTTTATGAGCCTTGGGCTTCTTACAGTATGAAGATGAGTAAGTTTGGAGTGTGAGCACCTCAAGAAGAGACATTCCAAGAGACCAAGGCAGAGGCTAGAATTTTTTTTCTTACTGATATAGACTTGGAAATCCTGCCATATCCTTTTAATCCCCTGCCATTGGTCAAGCAAACCACCTTCAAGGAGAAGATAATTAGATTCAACCTTTCAGTGGGAGAAGCAGCAAAGAATTTATTGCCAACTTTGATCTTCCATCTTTGTGTTTTATTAGAAAAAGAGTGCTTGCTTGCAATCCTATTACAATAGATACTGTTAATTTTCTTTTATATTTGTGATGCCTCACCAGAATAATTTCCATTTTTTCAGTCATGGCTCCTTTGACATGATGTTGGGTTTCTGATTGTTCTCTTAATATTTTTCAGTTTAGATCTGCCTTAATCTAAAAGCAGCATCACACCAGAGCATTCTAAGTGTAGACTGATCATCCTAGAGAAAAGCAGAACTATCACTGCCTATATGTTCTAGAACTGCTAATGGAGCCATGGGAGACACAAGCTTTTGTGGAAGTCATACCACAATATTCATGCATACTGAGTTAACCTAGTCCAGAAACATTAAGTGCTCACTGTGTACTGGGAACTATAAGTAGTGAGGCTACAAAAATAACTAGAACTTGGTAATTTTCCTTGAGGAGCTCACAGTTTGATGGTGAAGATTGTCATGCAAACAAGTAATTATTGCTCTCTGTCATGTACTACAGTAGGAAAATAAGGCTCTAAGTGAATACGAGAGAAAATTTCTAATGCTTCCTGGAAAAAATAAGGAGGCTTCACAGTGCCCATGAACACTTGAATTATGCCTCAAATGAATTCATTAGGAAAGAAATGGAAGAAAAAGTCATTGTAGCAGAAGGAAAAGCATATGAATAGGCACAGAGGTATAACAAAGTGAGACACATGTAGGTAACCTTACCTGAAGTAGAACTGTATGATTCATCAATTGGATACTTGCAGGTGTCAGCTGTGAGATGAGGTTGGAAAGGTAGAGAGGACCCAGGTCATCAGAATCTTAAATTTCATAGTAAGGAGTTGGGATTTTTATTCTCTAGAAAAAGAACATTAATGAACTTTTTAGAAAAAAATATAAGTTAGTGGAAGTGTGGCAAATGGACTCTTCTTGACCAGACCAAGACCCAAAGTTGGGAATCTAGCTAAGAGACTTATGCTAGAAAGAAGCAATGATGGCATGAATTAAAGAAAAGCAGATATGAAGAGGAACAGTTTTCAGTCATATTAAGGAGATTAAATTGATCAGGTTTACAATCTGGCTAAATATGGAGTGGAGAAAAGAAAGGAGACTCTTGGATGACTCCATTTTCTGTCTTGAATAATTTATATGGATAGTGCTCTAATTTTCATAGAAGGAAGCACTGTGAGAAGAGGCTTCAGGAGGTGGAGGGAGTGGACAATATGGTTCAGATTGGAAAATCTTGAATATAGTGCCTAAGAAACTTCTCGGAGAAAATAAGTGAGGATTAAGAAATAAGGGTCTAGAGTTCAAGAGAGTATTTTGGGCTGGTGCTCTAGATCTGTGAGTCGTCGAAGTAGGTGGTAGTAGAAGCCACTGGAGCAGCTCAGTAGAAGCAAGCCCTAGAACTTAGGAAAGGGGTTTACCTGATAAATGAATATTTCAACATATAAGAAACAGCTGAAACCCTGGGAGTTTACGACATTCCTCCCAGCACAGTAGGGAAAGAATATGAGTTGATGGCAGAACCCTGGAAAACATGACTATTTGAGGTGTGCACATGAGGAGAACTGACGAAAGGGACTTGCGATGGAATTCTGAGAGCTAGGAAAATTACGACAAAAAAGGGAGGCAAGGGCAGAGAGATATTCAAGAAAAAAATGGAGTGAACAGGACTGTCAAATGCTGCAGAGACATCGAGTAATGCTAGGACTGAGAAGTGCTTAATGAATTTTTCACCTAGGAGGTTATTGCTGACTTTAATGAGATTGAGAAGAGTGGAGGGAGCCAATGAAGTTAACCCCCATATAGCTTTGTAGTATAGAAATGTAAACAGATTGAGTGGTAAAGGCAGTAAAAATAAAAATAAAAAATAAAAGCATGGCTTTATTTTTTTTTGTTTCAAATGTTGAGATATGTTCAAAAGCAGTGAAGATTAAATTTGTTGACAGCTGAGAATGAGTAGGTGTTTACTCCCTGAGTTTTATTAATTTTTTTTATGTATTTCCGTTCTGTTAAGTTACATGTGTGCCTTCTCATCATCATCACCCCATATCTGAGCAACAAATTCTTTTAGAATAAAGTGTTAGGGGTTTCTGTTTTTTATCTCTATGATTAAAAAAAAGAAAAATCAATCTCATTTCAGATATAGTATTAAGATAGATTATTTCACATATCAAGTCTCTATAATTTGTAGATAATCTTTTTTCTATGTTGACAAAATGCATCTTTGATATAGTGAAAACTATACTGAAGACAATGTTAAAACCAAGATTTGTATTCAGCAAAAGATACCATAAAATAAAAAGTCAATAAATACCTGAGAAAATTTGTCACGTATGTATTTGATAGGATTAGTGTCCAGAATTTATTAAAAACTACAAGTCAACTAAAAGAAAAATATAATGCAAAGAACACATAAATTGGCATTTTATTAAAGAGGAAACAGAAAGGGTAAATACATATATGAAAAAGATAGTCAATCTTATCGGTCATTAGAGAAGTGCAACTTAAGAATACAATATGCCTACTAGTACTGTATTTACTAGCTGAAAGACTACACCAAGAATTCTAAAACCCTGCTGCTGCACATGGAAAAGAAAAACCACTTTAAACACAATTTGGTATTAGCTTACAAAGTTGAGCATGTATATTAACCTATGTTCCAGAAACTCCACTTGTAATCACTTGCCCTAAATAAACTTTATAATATCTCATTAGACATGATCAAGATAATTCATAGCAATTTTACCTTATACCAAAAAAAAAAAAGACTCAATTTAAACAATATAAATAAATGAACTTCAGCTACAGGCAAGAATGTAGATGAATATTGGAATATAATGTACTGTGAAAAAAACAAGACTGATATATCATTTTTATTTAAATGTGTAATTTAGGTAAACATACAATGTGCAATGAAATGATAAATATAAAATTTAGAAAAATGGTGACTTCTTTGGACAATGTATCAGATTAGGGTTGCAACAAGATACAGTAGGCTAAGATTAGAGCTGTATATACAAGAAGTCTCTATGTCACTGATGGTGTCCTACTTCAAAAATTTGGTAGTATGTCTTTTTATTATGTGCACAAGTTGCACTGTATATTTTTTCTAGTGCATATCAAGTATTAAACACTAAAAAAGTAAGAATCCACTGGACTTGGGAGAGTTCTGTATTCTTACCCAAGTTATTTTGCTAACTTTCGCTGGAACCACAAACAAGTTACTTGTCTGAGCTTTGGTTCTCTCATCTGTAACTGGAAAGACTGGGTAATTTCTAAAGTGCCTTCCATTTCCAACAATTTTTAATCCCATGAGCCAAAGAACTAACATTGTATTTAAGTCAGGGAACTTCCCCAAGTACCTTTCAAATTACATATTTTGACATAGACTCAAAATAGGGAAAAGGAACAAAGAATATTAATCTGCCAAGTTATACTTAATGCATGGAAAATCCAAATAAGGAGAGACATATAAACAAGGTTTTATTTGGTTATTTGAAACTATATTGTTTTACCTCTGAGTCAGAGAGCTTCTTGACCGTAATCTCCCATATACCTTTCAAAATTGAAAAAAATAATATAAAAATAAGGATTTGGGCCGGGCGCGGTGGCTCACGCCTGTAATCCCAGCACTTTGGGAGGCCGAGGCGGGTGGATCACGAGGTCAACAGATCGAGACCATCCTGGTCAACATGGTGAAACCCCGTCTCTACTAAAACTACAAAAAATTAGCTGGGCATGGTGGCACGTGCCTGTAATCCCAGCTACTCAGGAGGCTGAGGCAGGAGAATTGCCTGAACCCAGGAGGCGGAGGTTGCGGTGAGCCGAGATCGCGCCATTGCACTCCAGCCTGGGTAACAAGAGTGAAACTCTGTCTCAAAAAAAATAAATAAATAAAAATAAGGATTTGTATAAACACTGAAAACTAGAGAAAAATAATACTCAAATGCCAAAAGTCTCAGTAAATATCTCCAGATATGGCACAGATTTGCTCATAGGAAGAGAGAAGACACTGAGGCCAACTTAAAAAACTTCCTGCCCACCGTAAGCAGTAATAGCACTTGAAATAAAATCAGAACTCCTTAGAAAAATCCCATTAACATTCCCTAATTAAGAGGAAAGAGATAGACTGTGAGACATACAGACTCAAACCACTTTGACCTTTCACCAATGCTGATCAACATGATAGCAAATGATAACAGCATATTTATAGTGCATACTATATGCCAGAGATAGTTCTGAGCTCTTCAGATATTAGCTTATTTAATTTTCATATTAGCCCCCAGTCGGTAGATACTAGTGTTTCCCTTTTACAGATGAAGGATCTGAGGTATAAAGAATTTAAGTGATGATTCTCTATAGTTAGTGAGTGGCAGAGGCAAGATGCGAACCCAATCTTTTTGCTTCTAGCATCTGGTGCCTTAATCACAGAATTATAGTATTCCTCAAAGGCAAAAGAAAGTAGCTGTATCTGGTGTCCATCATTGTAATAACTCTGTGTAACAAACCAATCCAAAACTCAGTGACATATAACAGTAGGCATTTATTCAGCTTATCAGTTTGTAAGCTGATTGTTTAGACTGTACTGGGCCATTCTTCTGGTCTTGCCTGGGGACACAACTAGGTCTCAGAGTTGACTGGCTATTGTCTGTGGTGCGCATATCTGGGAGTTATTTTAGTATCACCTGCGTGACTCAGCTCTCTTCTCTGAATCTTCCACATGCTTCCAGCTGGCTAACCTAGGCATGTTATCCTGGCAGACGTGCAAGAGCAGGTATGAACTCTCAAATGGCTCTGCTTGTAGCCTTATCAGCACACATCTCCACTGGCCAAAATATGTCACTCTTCCTATTTAGTGAGAGAAACTATAAGGAAAATGGCATGTGTGTAGGCGAGGTCTCATAGAAGAATTACCGCAGAAGCTGTTCTGTGCACCTGTTAACATGGCTATTATATGCATTATTAATTTACCATAATAGCCGTGCTAAGAGGTGCACAGAGCAGCTTCTGTGGTAATGACAAGGCTCCTTCCTGAAGCCATGGGCAGTAGCTTCTGGAAGGAGGGAAGCCCAACAGTATGTCATTTGGATCCAAGCTTTAAGACAACTAGATTCAGAAATGTGGCCTTCATGGAAGCTTTTTCAATGAGAGAGAAAAAAAACAGAAGCAGTAATGCAAAGACAACTCCAAAGCCCTTCCATTCCTCCCTTCCTGAGGCTTCTAGATGACCGCAGTGGGTACTTACATCAACCTCTTAACATCTGAGAAGAGAATTTGCACAGCTACCATAGAGAAAGGAAGGGGGCCTAAAGAGAGATTTATGAGGAACAGTGTTTTCAGTTTCTAATAGGATTCAGTTACCACATGGCACTCTGCAGAGCATCTCTGGTTGGCGGTTGTCTTTAGGCACTTGAGAGAATGTGGGTGTGCGGTAGTCTGGGTATGGGCACCCATCTGGCTGCTCATGTCTGAATCTTTCCTTTCCATTCTTACTTTCACCATTTACTAACCAAGCACACATAGAGCGGTTACCATGTACCAGACTCTGGAAACATATGAGCTGTGCTGTGTTCTCAATCACTGAGGATCTTTTAGTCTGGAGCGCTCATTTTTCACCGTCTCCCAAGTAGAGGGATGTGTCTTTCAGGCCCAGGGTGCTCCTGGAAATATTTGTAGGAATTAAAGCAGCCTGGTTATTGTTGTTTTGTTTCCTAAGACTCCTCAGTCCCTGAACATGCTGAGTGAGTATAGCCTCTTCTTAACTATATCCAGCTAAATTTTTTTCTGATTCTCAGGGATTCGAGTTCTTATTCTCCTTCATAGAAAATAAGCTCTGTTCAGGAAAGGGGTGGCCTAAGTCTGGGTGAGCTCATATAGCAATACTAACCGTTTTCAGGATCCACTTCTGGGGATAGTAGGTTGTGAGGTACAAGGTGTCAGGTGTGATGAAGCTCAGACCAGCTCCCCGACTACACACCCTAGTTATGGCAGTTCTGACATCAAAGATGTCAAAAATGTGAAGTCACCATTGGATGATCTTTTATACACTGAGTTCCTACCGTCTGGTGGCCATTGCAAGAGGTCAAAAAGCAGGCGGTCAAAAATGAAAAGGTACCCTGTCATGAACAATATTAAATATCTAAGATTTATAACTGCCTGAACCTTTTTAGCTCAGTGTTCTTGGCCTAAGTCAAATGCTCTAAATGTATCTTATAAAGTAATTTCACATTTCATTGAATAAATTTCAACTGCAAATACCAACAAGGCATGCTCACGCTAAGAATCCTAGTATAATAGAGTATTTAGAGAGCCAAATGATACAGATAATGCATTGTGCTATGTTCAGAAAGTTTTAAAGAGGAACAATCATTTTAAAAAGAACCAGAAATCAATCCGATAAAATAAAAGTGAGAAAAGGAGGCTTAGAATACTTTTCAGAAACTCCAGTCAAGCATGGACTTCCATAGAGTGACAGTTTTTCATACAAATCAGGAGATTATGAGCTCTGAGATCCTTTCCCCTATCATGTTTATTAGAATAATTATTTCTCTAATTCAGATTTCTAAGCAGCTTAATTCCTGTTCTTATTTCGATTTACAGAGGACAACAAAAATGCTGTATCTGCTCCAAGTCTGCTTCTCCAGATGAAACTTTAAATGACTCCAAGCTCTGAGCTTATGTGGTTGACCAAATTGGTTAGCATTCATTCTAAATATAAGAAGGTGAAGAAAGCCTTTCCCAGGCAGAAACTTAAAAAGTGGTCTTAAGATTGTTAAGGGAGTATAAGAACATCTTCCTAACAAAATACATCTGGGAACAACTTAATCTAATATTAGAAGTTAAAAACCAAAACAAATCTTTGCTGCACTCAATGCCATGAGTTTTGTAGAATCACCATGATTACACCAAATTCCATGCAAACTTCATAATATGCCAGCAAGTATTAGGTGACAGATTTGAGGATGTACCTGTGGCAGGAGATACCCATCCTGACTGAAGCCATTTGGCTTCCTACAAAATCAAACCATCAGTGAGCAAATGTCTAGCAGTATCTCATGGTAGATTGCCTCTTGTCCTCTCTTCTGGAGAAGATACTTTGAAACCAGAGTTTTCTCATGTCAGGACCTTGTATGTATAATAAGTGAGCATAGAAATCATTCAAGCATGTATTTAAAACCCCATGACATTCTATCCCATTTCAGAACCTACTTTATGTATCTTAAAAGGTGGCACCACTTGTGTTATCAGGGGTGGCCCAATTCTCAATAATTGGTAATGACTGTCTGGAGTACTATGTGGAAAAGATCAACAGGAAAGAGTCCCCCAAATTAGCACATCTGACATAATCATGGATGGAGAAGGGTGGCACATATAGCATGTGTTTGTCATTTCTAGTTCTGCTGACTCTATATTAATTTTTTCCTCACATTTTCTCACTTCTTTAAACACAGAGGAAATACAAGCCTGGTTGGGTTGTGGGAAACAGATCCCCCACATTTTGAACAATGAAGATGGTCTAATATGTGTCTGATTGTTTAGTTTGTTATGTGAATGTTTTAAATACCCAACATAGGAATACTAGAAGTGGACAGCTGACCTTTGCTCTGCAGACAGAGAAGATGCAACTCCTAGAATCCCAAAGAGCAAGAAAAGGGTTTGCATCTGGCACGTCTCTTCTTATCCCTTGCTGGACAGTAGGCACAGCTCTATTTGAGGGCTTGTGTTTTCTGGAGATGACTGCTTTCCTTTCTTTACATTGTTGTCCATACCCAGTACAATAGTAGGGGTTCAACTGATATTTTTTGCAGTAAGAGTTAAATCCATGCTGCCTAGTGCTAGATTGCCACAAAGTAGGAAACACGTTACACAATAAAAGTGTTTTTTAAATGATTGCATTTCTACATTAGTACCAAAGGCTTAATTTTTCCCCCAATTTATAGCACAACATGGAAGAGCATAATGCAGAAGAGCTGGCTCCTCCTCCCTTCTCAATACAGCCCCACCATTCGGCCTCAAAGAACATTGGGACTAATTCTGTCATGCGCTTTGTTCCTATCTGTATTAACCACAATTAGAAAATAAAGACTCCAGGTCCTCTCCCACCCTGTGGTCTCTTGTGCCCACACAGCTCTGTGCATCTCTGATTCCATCCCCCATCTTTTCAAAGAGCACCTTCTTATGCACATTCAAAGTTTGAGTTGCTCTGTGAACTCCAGAACACACTTGCAATCAGCAAAGTCCATTATATTTTCAATCTTGTCTGAATAGTACCTTCCCTTTCCTACTGGAAATCTGGCTCTCCTTAATTCTATTGCTTCCCTAGAGCCCTCCTAAGTGGCCATGTCTTATTTTCCACACCTCTTGTGCTACTGGACTTAGTGACAGGCTAAGTGTTGTTTTTGCTCCTCCTTGCTTCTTCCAGACTCATGTCCTGCTCGCCTCCTTAAAATCAATCTGCCTGGAAACTCATACTATCTAACCTAGGTCAGGTCAATGCTACTAACCCTGCCTCCTTGGTGCAGTTATACATAGTTCTAGACCCCAGCACCTCCCCTATTCTTTGGAGATTCTGGTCCTAGAACCATGGCTCATGGTTGCTTTCTCTCCAGCTCTATTCTTGTCATCACCTTTTTTAGTCTCATCTCCTGGTCTTCTCTTCATTCTATATGTTCACTAACTAGCTGATCACATACTCTGATGACCCCCCAAATATATCCTAACCAAAAACTGTCTTCAACTCATATTTCAGCTGCCTCCTTCCTACCTCGCTTGGATGTCGAACAGGCATATCAAAATGTATATGTTCAAAATTAAACTTATTTAATTTTAATCCCATAGCCCCCAAATTTCTTCCTTTTAGAACCTCTCCCATGTAGGCAGAGACTTCATTTTGGGGCACTGCTATTTCTCTACTGCCTGGCATATAGTAGGTGCTCAGTACATGTTTAGTTAATGAATCATTTTATATTTTCACAATAATAGTTTAAACTGTTGTAAAGCAGGGTGTTTCACTTCTGCTTTCTTGTGAGAGAGCAAGCTAGATAAAATGTTGTGAGCTTGCTCTGGAAATGCAATAGCACAGCAGTGTTAGAGGTAGTCTGAGTTGGTAACTGATGTGTAAACAAACCTTTGTACCAAATCTGACTTCTGCCTACCATCTCCTGCTCTAGTCTCGTATAGATTACCACCAGGGTCAACCTCTTCAATGACAGATTTGACCATGCCACTACCTTGCTCAAAGTCCTTTGGAGTATATAAAGAAATTTAACTTCCTCCACCTGGCATCCAAAGGTCTCCTTTCTTTGAGTTTCCACCTATTACTTCTCCACCTTCATCCTGAGATAAGGCTTTTAATTCAAGCAACATCATAACTGTGACTCTGGTCCCTTGTGTTCATCAGGACTTCTTGGCTAGAAATGACAGAAATGAGATAGGCTTAGCAAAGAAGAGAATGTATTGTCTCGTAGCTGTAAATACGTCTCTGTACTGATAAAGATGGTTGGTCACAATGTATTGTTGAGAGAAAAGTAAGCTATAGATTAGTATGTATACTGTGATTCTATTTTATATATTTTTTAATCTTCCTATGGTTGAGTGTGTTTATATGCCTGAGAACAAAAAGAGTCTGGAAGACTATGCACCAAATGTTAGTAATAATTAGCCTTTAGTGAGTAAAAAATCCTGATGTTTTCCAATTTACATATTTATATATTAGAATATCATGAAAACTGTTTAAACTTATGCTTGCTTCATGGTATCACCCTGTTAATGCAATGCCATCATATACCATCCAATATGGAGCCAGTGGCTAGGTATGGCCACTTAAATTTAAAAGTGAAATAAAAAAATTCCATCCCTCAGTTGCACTAGCCACATTTCAAGTGCTCAAGAGCCACCTATAGCTAGTGGCTGCCACATTGAGTGCACAGGTATCAAATATTTCCATAAACGCACAGTGTTACTCCCACAATGTGAAACACCTGTCAAGCTAGATGAACTAGATGTTCACCTGATTGCTTTCTCTAGTATAATTGGCGTCGTTTAGATGCAGCCAGAGGGAAGCAGGTGCAGGCCTGATCACTTGTGATCTGACAGCCACCAGGAGTTCGACTGAACTCCCAATCTGTTCATTTATGCAGGATCTTTAAATGTGTGTGGAAAAGACATTAGCTTAGAGGCAACCTGTTGAGTAATTTCAAAGGGAAATAAGAAAAATCTTTACCCAGTAATTTTTAAAGGAAAATGACAACATCTGAGTCTCTGCAACATTGAGATTTTTTTTTTTTTTTTTTTTTTTGAGACGGAGTTTCGCTCTTGTTACCCAGGCTGGAGTGCAATGGCGCGATCTCGGCTCACCGCAACCTCCGCCTCCTGGGTTCAGGCAATTCTCCTGCCTCAGCCTCCTGAGTAGCTGGGATTACAGGCAAGCGCCACCATGCCCATCTAATTTTTTGTAGTTTTAGTAGAGACGGGGTTTCACCATGTTGACCAGGATGGTCTCGATCTGTTGACCTCGTGATCCACCCGCCTCGGCCTCCCAAAGTGCTGAGATTACAGGCGTGAGCCACCGCGCCCGGCTAATGACATTGAGATTTACCTGTTTTAATTAGAAAAACAAACTGACCTGAGAGACTGTTTTTCCTTTTTGTCTTATTTGCCTAATTCCCAAGTAATTTGGCCATGCTTATGGAGAAAGAAGAATCATTTTCCTATCTGGCAAGGAAATTTAAATGGTACTATAAGTACTTCTGTTTGAAATTGTTTGAAAGCAAACAGAAAACTCTTACCATGTTTCCTAAGTTTTTTTAATTTGAATCTTTAACATTTGCTCCATGTGGCATGCAGAAAACTCAGTGTTTATGTTTTCATTCTAAGGTGGAATCATAAGATCATTTTTTCGTGGTTGTGGACTTTTGTGCAAGAGTCAATGGTAATCGGATATCTTTTTTTTTTTTTTTAAATAAAAGATTAAGAATGCATTAATGGCTGGGTGTGGTGGCTCATTCCTGTAATCCCAGCACTTTGGGAGGCCAAGGTGGGTGGATCATTTGAGGTTAGGAGTTTGAGACCAGCCTGGTAAAACCCCGTCTCTACTAAAAATACAAAATGAGCCAGGCATGGTGGCATATGCCTGTAATTTCAGCTAATCAGGAGGCCGAGGTACAAGAATAACATGAACCCAGGAGGCGGAGGCTGCAGTGAGCCCCGATCATGCCACTGCACTCCAGCATGAGCAACAGAGTGAGACCCTGTCTCCAAAAACAAAAAAGAATGCATTAGCATGCAGCATGATTCTTATTTTCCACTCATTCTGTTTCTTTTTCAACAAGTCAGATTTATTACAACCACAGATTGAAAAAGACAGTATTTTGGGTCAATTATCAAATGCTGTCTTTTATTCAACATAACACCTTCTAAGTCTATAGGATGCTAAATATTCATTCATTGGCTCTATTTGATCTTTGGATCTACCAAATTGAATTGATTATACTGCCCAATATGTGATACAGTCATTTGATAATTTGCCCTTACCATCCCCTATCCTGACTCTAATGCATTTTTATATGCCCTTAAATAGGTGTACATCCTGAAAAGTAGGTAGTGTTTTTAGTACATGTTTTTAGTTCAGATAAAAATCATTGTACTACAGATCTTTCTCTGCTTTTTTACTTAAATGCTTTTAAGCTTTGTTTTTTTAATCTTTTTGGTCAGTGGAATATGATTAAGAGTGGAAAATCTAGACCAGCAGTCTCCAACCTTTTTGGTACCAGGGACCAATTTTCCTGATTTTCCATAGACCAGGGGTAGGGATGTTTTTGGGATGATTCAAGCACATTACATTTATTGTGTGCTTTATTATTATTACAATGTAGTATATAATGAAACAGACAACTCACCATATGTGGAATCACTGGAAGCCCTTAGCTTGTTTTCTTGCAATTAGATAGTCTATCTGAGGGTGATGCAGTGACAAATCATCATGCATTAGATTCTCATAAAGATGGGTGCAGCCTCAATCCCTCACATGCGCAGTTCACAATAACATTCATGCTCCTATGAGATCTCATGTCACCGCTGACTTGACAGGAGCCAGAGCTCAGGTGGTAGTGTGAGCAATGGGGAGCAGCTATAAATACAGATGAAGCTTCACTCACTTGCCTGCTGCTTACCTCCTGCTGTGTGGCCCAGTTCCTATCAGGCCACAGTTCCTATCAGATGGTACCACATAGGGTGACTGCTGGCTCTTCCATACTATGTGACCTTATGCTAATTACTTAAACTCTCTGATCCTCATGTTCCTTTCCTGTAAAATAGAGTTACTAATATTCACTTTTTAAAAATGTAAGGAGTGAATGAATTAATGTGTGCAAAGAACTTAGAAAAGTATTAGACATTTACTAAGAGCCACTTATATGTTTTACTTTATGAAAATCTAATACATTATTTCTGACTATCACATAATATTCCATCATATGCAGTACTTCATTTTACTTATTTTCCTGTTCCTTCCAAATTTTTAACCAAAAGTAACACTATATAGATATCCTTATGTATTTCCTTGCACAAACCTATGGGATATATACCAATGAGCGAAACTACTGGATTATCAGGCATGTGCACACTACATTTTCTCCAGGCAGTGCCAGATTGATTGCCCTCCAAAAAATCTGTGCCAACTTAAAATCTCTTGGCTGTGCATGGTGTTTCCATTTGCCTATCTTCTCATCAACACTTGTTATTATCTAACTTTCAAATTTGTGCCAATTTGATTAGACATAAAAGTGGCATGTCAATATTATTTTGATTTGCATTTCCCTATTAGGGAGCTCATGCACATGAAAGTTAGTCATTTGGATTTCTCTAGCATTGGGCTGGTAAATGTTTAACTCCTGGCTTTAGGGGATGACGAAAGAGAAGGGAGCCTGATTTGTTGTGCAGTTTGTCAATTTCCATGGTATAAATACTGCAGCATGGCCAATTTCAAGCTACCCTTTAGCAACTAGCTAGTGAAATTTCATAATAGGCTCTCATAAGATGGCATAACACAGCTCCAGGACACCATTGGATTGTCCCTTCTAGAAATGGCTTATTCATAACTTTTGCTCAGTTAATATTTGATTTCCTGTCTTACCCTTGTGGATTTACAGGAGTTTGTTATATGTATGTATATGTGTGTGTGTGTGTGTTAATTACATCTGTGTTTTGAAGATTGCAAATAATTTCTCCAACTCTGCAAGAGTTACTTTGTTAACTTCATTGAAGAGTTAGTTTACTGAACAGAATGCCTTGATGTAATCCATTATTTTCACTTTTTCCCCTTTGGCCTTTTGCTTTGGGGGAAGTCTTATTTAAGAAACGCATCTTACTCCAAATGCGTTTATCAGTATGTATTAAACATCAGTTTTCATTCTTGCTGCTTCAGATTCAAAGATGAGTCCTGAGGAGCTTGCAGTTTAGGGGCAAGAAAACAACATGCAACTGAATAGTGACAATACAATATAGAATGTGCTTATTGTTGCTACATTTGCAAATATTTAGATGTGCCTTTGCAAAGCAAAACAATTTTCCCCAATAGTGCATTTGTGTAAATGATTAAAGGTTTGAACTGCACAAGTCAGGAGAGGTAATATAATGACTCCTTATAACTTCACAAAGCATCCTAGCGTCTTGGGAATTTCCTCTTGTCTGCTTTGAGAAAGTTTTCCAAAGATAACAGAAGTTGAGATGACCTTACAGCAGTGATGAAGCCAAGTCCAGTCCATTGCTAACCCCTACTCTGGCCATACATATTTGCTGCTTCTCTGGTTAGTTTCCACTCCTGCTCCTCCCTGTGCTTCCTTGAAAAACAGCAGCAGCAAGTCTTGTATTATTCTCCTCTAACCCAACTGTTTGAGCTGCATTCTCCCTTTTGAAACTCTTTCTCCATATAGCTTATAAGCTTCAAAATAGGATAAATGTGTTTTACGTAATTTATAGAAACTCGAGTTTAATTTTTAAAATATTATATAGGTGTTACACATTCATAAAATGGTGTGATCACATAAAACTACACTCAGATAAGCCTTGAAAAAAATATTCCTAAGTCTTTTAGAGATATAGATGGCGATAGTGATGCTGAGCCTGACTGGGTTGAACAAGAGCTATCCTGAGAGGAGCTGAAGAGCTCCAAGCCATACTTTTCTAGGGTTGAGGGGGTGACCAGACTTGCCAGCAGCACTTCACCAGAATTGCTCCTAAGCGACCCAGAGATCCAAAAGGGATCTGTGTAATCGCAGAAATTCCAGGGGTGGTACTCATTGTGAAGTGTGTTGTTGCTATTATTGTTTGCCACGTTCTTTCCTTCTCCTTTCTTAGCTTGCTATGACACACGCATAATAGTGAACAGTGTACCAAAGAACCTGATTTGGGGGTGGGTCCTTCTGCCTGAACTCTGAGATGGCATTTGTCTCTGAGTTCCGCAAAATGGTCCAAGCAAAATGTTCCTATTTCGTAACCACAATTGAGGTCGATGGTTCAGTGATCAAGAACAGAGAGTATATTTATCCTGGCAGAAATGAAGATTGTAGCAATATGAAAGTCTTTTTAATTTGATACCTGTAAACAGGTTGCTTTTAACACCCCGCAATGCAAATAAACAGTCATATTTTCATTCTCTTTCTCCCCCTTCCTTCTTCTTTCCAGCTCAGAAACTGTGACTGCATTTCCCAAATTCAGTTTCATGAATATTCTTTAAATTGATAATTAGTGCACCATGGAAAGAAAGGTGGAAAGAAAGCGGGGGAGGTTCTATGTTCAAATAAGTTTAAACGACCATACACTAAAATGCATTTCTGGGAATTCCACGATACCATTAGTCCCTGAGAATCTTCTAGTAACAAAATCTGTCAAATTGAGTGTAACCCAGGATTTCACAAACTTTTCCTGGCCATAGATATTTACCTCTCTGTCTCATGCCCCCATGCTCCCTCTTCTTTCCTGGAGCACTTATTACTATCTTTTATATTGGAGAACACATTTATATTAAACCAATAGTTTGGTTTAAATATGTCCCAAACAGTTGCTTTGAATAAACAAAAACTATACCACCCTCACTCACTTATTCAACCAATAGTTTTAAAAATACTACCTATTTAGTGCCTGGCTAAACTGGGGTTACAGATTTGAAGGCTCCTTTCCCTTCGGGCCTCACAGCTTGGTTGGTGGAGGGACACAGGAAAATTGGAATAGTCACTAATGCTAGAAGGGCAGAGTTCCTGGCAGGTATGCACAG